GCTTATATCACTTATAAACTGTATGGCCGTGGCAGGCTTCTTGCTAACTGTTCTTTTATCTTAAATTAACCCATTTTTATAAATTTATACCTTGCCACGTGGCTGGTGGCTTCCCAAGCGTCTTCACATGCTGCTTGTCCTGGCAGTGGCTGCAGTGTCTCTCGAGGCAATTCTTAAGAGTTTCCAGACAGTCCAATGGGAAGTTGGGTTTGTTAATAGTTATTTATATCATTATATGTGAGTTCCATGGTATATTGTTGTGTTATAAAAAGCCAAGTGTGGAATACTTTTTGATATGTGTCATATAATAGCAGAATAAAATAAATATGAAATATATGATGAATGGCATAAAATAGAATATCTTAGATCCCAATTTATTTTATACCCTATATAATACTACATTCCTTATATATTTTGTTCAATGAATTATTGCTTTTATGTGAAAAGCAAAATCATGATTCAGAACACTTTTTTCAGTGTGAAACATGTTTTGAAATGGATTTTATGAGCATTTGTGAGACCTATTGTTGAGCTTCAAGCCTGTCCTCTAAGATCTTAATGCAGTTTATAAACACATGAAGTCTGTGGAGATGTATGATCAGATCCATAACTTCCCTCAGATTTTCAAAGGGAGCGTGTCTCAAAAAAACAAATCCCCTTGGAACTCACAATTTTTTGTGTTAATGGTTTTCTTCCCATGGTTCTGTCTTTTTCTGAGCAGAGAATGTCAACATAAAAAATCTGGAAAATGTTCTAGGCAACATGGGAATCAAGCTGTCCAGCAAAGAACTTGACGATCTGACAAAAAACCTGCCCATCGGTGGTGAGTGTGTCCAATGCCATTGACTCTATTTATGATTTCTGATTTTAGAGACATGATCTTACTATCTAACTCAGAAAAGCCTGGGATTTGCTATGTGTCTTAGTTAGGTTTCTTCTGCTGTGATAAAAACACTATGACCAAAAGCAATTTGGGGAGGAAAGGGTTTATTTCTTCATTACAAAGGGAAGTCGGGGCAGAAACTCAAGACAGAAACCATAGAAGCAAAGGCCATGGAGGAACACTACCCACTGGCTTGCTCCTCATGGTCTGCTCTGCCTTTCTTATAGAACCCCGGATGACTTGGCCAGGGATGTTACTATCCCCAGCTTTCTTTTATCACCCAGGATGACTTGGCCAGTGGTGTCACCATCCCCAGTAGGCTAAGCCCTCCCACATCAATCATTAAGAAAGAAAATGCCCCACAGACTCTCCTACAAGCAATTTGATGGAGACATTTTCTCAATCGAGGTTGCTCTTCCCAGAAACTCTAGCTTGTTTCAAGTAGACAAAAGCTAACCAGGATACTATGCAACCGAGACTTCCCAAGAAATCTTGATCCCCTGCCCCACTGCCTGAGTGCAGAGAACACAGCCATGTGCCACCATGTCCAAACCCATTGACTTATGAACTTTTGGTTTTATAGACATTAGCTTCAGAATAAATAAATGAACTTTTTCTAGGGAAAAATAGTAATGCTGGGTAAGACATGCCAGTAACAAAGCCCTTGAGAAGGTAAGTCCTGGGCATTAGTGACATGGTCAGGAAGAGTCTTCTAAATTTGGGAACAGGAAAGCTGGCCTCTAGGAAATAGTCACTTTTGAATCCTGTCTTTTCATTATCAAATATGAGATTTTTCTCTTTCATACACATTTTTGAAACAAGATTATTTTCAATTCAAATTTTTCTGTATTTCATTCTTTTTATATATTATGAGTAAACATCTGAGTGACTACTTAAAGTGCTTAACAAGAACCCCACTGTAATTCATAGGGTGGGCCATAGCTTTAGGTTATTATTATCTTAGGAGAATGGAGAGTGTTCATAAGTTATTTATTTTGAGCTTCAAGTTATGTTTTTGTGTTATAGCTGATAAGAAAGTGCCTCTGAAAATTTTGAAAGATGAAGCAAAAGCTTTTACTGGTAAGAATTTGTCATAAATGATTTTTAAACAAATTATAATTTATGTTTAATCTTTTAATAGTATTCTCTGAAATGTAGTAATAGCTTATAGATTCATGTATTTTCAGTATTCCTCTTGATAAAATATGTATATCCCTGCCCCACAGATTTATTTACTTTATTTATTTACTTGTTATTTTATAAGTAAAACAATACTGTCTGTTTTTTGATAATGTCTTACTTTCTTTGCTACTTTTTTTCCAATAAAATGGTGTCATTATTTACCAACATCAGAACTAGGTAGTTACAATAAGAGAATAAAGCATTTAAAAATATATAAATAATGTCTCATGAGCAGCATAAGGTTTTGACAAAATAGAAAGTATATGTAATATTTTAATTATGTATTTTTATTATGCCAGCTATTATTATCCTAAATAGCCAATAATTATATAGCCATTCTGTACTACCTGCTACTATTTTCATCACTAGAAATATACACTAGGATCTACAAATATTAAGTGATAAATTCTGTTTTAAACTTACAACAAACTATTTCTACTAGGAGATTTTACATCTTTTTCCTCTTTGTTCTTGCATTAGGAAGAGCAGTAACAAAAGCACATTTATAGATGATTCAAAATAATTCAGTTATTCCCTAATATTTTATGAATATCCATCTTTTTAAGGTGAAAAAGTTGACTCTCGTAACCTCCAAAATGTACTTAAAAATGTGGGGATTGAGCTTTCTGGCAAGGAATTGAATCAAGTCCTGAAAACATTGCCCACTGATGGTAAGTCACGCCACCTGTCTCATGCCACGTGGCAGATACCTTCCAGGTAACTTGGCTTAGTGGGCTTTTGAATTCTCAGTGTTTCAAAATATCTATAAGTTAATGCAAAGCCACTTTCAACTTGAAAGTAAACTGTTATTACCTCCTCAGACACCATTTGAGAGTCATCAGCATATTGTCATTTGAGGACTAGAACAGCTACAGAGTAAAAAGAAAATGTGTTGTATATATCTTACTGTGATACAGCATGGAAGAATTAAACTCATAAATGACTATAAAACCAAAGAATGGATAAGTTTATGACAATGAAAAAAAATATTTGCATTTAAATGTCAGTGTTGTGTGACTTTGAAAGACCAACTTTGATATCAACTCACTAAAATGCATCTTGCTACAACCATGCGACCATATAAGAGTTTTGATGACTCTCCATGCCAGTGTTCTAGAGATCTGAATTCTGCCTCTATTTACAGATCATGGAAGGGTGTTTCAAAACAGATTGATGAAAGAAGTGAAAAGTAATAAACGTGAGTAGCAACGTGAGAAGGTGTTTGAACTACCCTCTGCTATTGAATTTGCATTACTTCAATGCAAAGACATATGTTGCTTCTTGAAGAATATTTGTTTTTCTTGATAATAATCTATTATACAAGGAAGTTTTCCACTGTCTTGTATTTTACAAACTTAACTGAAATATATATTAATATATATTAGCTATATATATATAAACTGAATATATTATATATTCATATGTATATGAATAGAAATGCATATAGAAACACAAATCAATAATCTCTACAAAGAGTTTCATTTGTTTCCTAAATGGTTTCAGATTATTCTCCTGGTTATTTTCCAGGAGAAAATAACAGTTGTGTGGCATATGCCTCTAATTCCAGCACTCCGGAGGCTGAAGCCAGAGATTCCCTGTGAGTTTAAGGTCAGCCTGAATTATATATTGAATCACAGGCTGTCCAGACTACACTGTGATACTCTGTCTCAGAACAAAAGAAGCTGGAAAGTTAAGAGAGAAGGAGAAAGGGAGGCAAACAGAAAAGAAATATAAGACAGAAAAAGAAAAGGGCCAGCAAGATGGCTCAGTGGTGGGTAACAGTGCCTGCTGCCAAGCCTCACGACTTGAGTTCGATGCCCCAGAAACACATGATGGCAAGAGAGAACTGGCTCACACAAGTTGTCCTCTAAGCTCCACATTAATTAGTTAGTAACTTTTGGGCTGTGAGTGGGCATTTTAGAAGAAGAGAAAGAGGAGGAAGACAACAGGAAGGAAGGAGGGGGGAAATAACCAGGAGAATAATCTGAAACCATTTAGGAAACAAATGAAACCTCTTTGTAGAGATTATTGATTTGTGTTTCTTATGTTACCTATGCCCCTGCCCACATTCTCAAGTGTAGATACTTTTAATTTTTGAGGAAATAAGTTGGTATTTTAACCCTGCCCTTAACCTTTAGACAACTGGATGAAAATCTGTTATGGTTTTGTTCTTTTGTTTTAAAATATTAGCAGTTATACTAGACTGTGGAAGATTCTCTTTTCCAGCACATAGTAGGTGGTAAGACCTGTTAAACATAAAAACATATGTGCATTTTAGAATACCTTCAAATCTCAGTGCTTTAGAACCATTCCACTTTTCCCATTTTCTTTCGTGTTCAATAGGAGGGCAGGTTGACGTCAATAATCTGGATGCTGCTTTAGACGCCCTGAACATCAAGCTCACAGAAAAGGAACTTGAGCAGACAAAGGCTGGTCTGAGTGGTGGTGAGTGGTACAAGAAGTCTGATTTTAAATAGAAGTTGAGTTTGCAGCATTAGCTATGAGTGCTTTAAGGTTTAATCTACTTTTAGCCCAAGAGAGATTCTAATAACTTTCAGAAGAACTTTTAATGAAACAAATGAGAGACCTCATCTTTTGTCCCTTTAAAACCTATAATCTGAGCAGGCATGATGGCTCAGCAGGTAGGGGCACTTGTCAGTAAGCCTGATGATGTAAGAAGCCTATGGGAGCCACATAGTAGAAGGAGAGAACAAATCCTACTCCACATGTGCACCATGGTACATGCACACCACCCACCCACACACTCACACAAAATAAATAAAAAATATAGTACTTTAAAATTGAAAATCCTTTCACTTTTTCTCCGTGCATTGCAGAGTAAGGGTTTTCTAGTAGTGATGAAGTAAGAGTTATTGTTTGATTTTACAAACACAGGATCTGCAGCCTGATTTTTCTCACTGATCTATATCTCACTGACATTAATCCAGTGTGTCCAATTTCCTCAACCATTCTTCATTCTTCTATTCATTGATTTTGAAATTTTCCTCCCTTCCATCCACCCTCTCTTCCTTTCAATTCTTTTTTTTTAATATTGTCACTGTAACAAATGTTATAAAGCAATATTACACTACTAACTTTCAAGATCTACACTGATTGGGTATGATGATGCACATCTATAATCCCAGAACCTGGGAACTTGAGGCAGGAGAATTGTGAGTTTGAGGTCAGGCTTGGCTGTGTCATCTAGACCCTTTCTCAGAAGACAAAAATGAGAGGTTAAGTAGGGAGCTCAGTGGTCTAGAGCACCCGCTCTCAAGGAGGTCCCAGGTTCAGTTCCAAACACCCACATGGCTGCTAAAAATCATCCCTAAGTCCAGTCCTAGGGGACCCAACAGGCTCCAGGCATGTATGTGGTATGTGTACATACATGCTGGCAAAGCGCTCATTCATATAACATAAAATAAATAAATCTTTAAAATTAAAAAAATACCCAGGACGACAGAGCTGGCTCAGTGAGTAAAAGCACTGGCTGTGCAAACATGCAGGCCTGAGTGTAACTAGAGTTTTCCTGCCTTGCCCACAGTCAGGACAAATCTCTGTCACCCGCCAGTCCCACAGCCGCTCAGACCCAACCAAGTAAACACAGAGACTTATATTGCTTACAAACTGTAATGCAGTGGCAGGCTTCTTGCTAACTGTTCTTATATCTTAAATTAATCCATTTCCATAAATCTATACCTTGCCACGTGGCTCATGGCTTACCAGCATCTTCACATGCTGCTTGTCCTGGCGGCAGCTGGCAGTGACTCTGACTCAGCCTTCCACTTCCCAGAATTCTTCTCCTCCTTGTCCCGCCTATACTTCCTCGTACCTGACTACTGGCCAATCAGTGTTTTATTTACTAACCAATCAAATCAATACCTTGCCACATGGCTGTGGCTTACCGGCATCTTCACATTCTGCTTGTCCTGGAGGTGGCTGGCAGTGACTCCTTCTGCCTTCCTGTTCTTTCTTTTCTCCTCTCTGTTAGTCCTGCCTATACTTCCTGCCTAGCCACTGGCCAATCAGTATTTTATTTATTGACCAATCAGAGCAACACATTTGCCATACAGAACATCCCACAGCACCTGAGCTCGGATCCACACCACCACATAAAAGCCAGCCACAGTGACCTTGTGTCTGTGTCCAGGAAGGTGAAGAGTGGCAGAGGAAGACATGTGACATTAACTGCTGCTGTTACTATTAACATAACACTAACAATAATAAACTTTAAAAGTAAAAATACACATAGCATACTCTCCATGGCCCGTGAACATTCTTAGAGCCTGGATGCGAACCCATTTCTAGTGGGCTATAGTAACTGAAATGAGAAGAGGAAAGAAGAGAAACATCTTTTCCTTAGACACTTGTGTGCGATTTTTAATTTTATACAAATTTATACAAAGTTATTATAATTTTAACTTGATTTGTTTTAACTTAAAATGGCTACAAATGATACAGTGGGTTCAGGGAGTCACTAACCTGACCTTCTGAAGCCATTTCTGCTGTCTCCTACCTTGCTGCCTAACATCCGACTCTTCATCTCTATCAGCACTGGACACAGTACACGATAACGAACAGTCTTTGCAAATGCTGAGGAAATCATGACTTTGAGAAGAAATGTTGGAGGACTGCTTAATCCCAAGAAAAGCCACTTAAAATATGTACATAACATACTTTTAATAATAATTGGAGAAGAAAAATGTAACTTTTAATATTTTTTGTTCCAAAATTCCAAAAGATGCTGTAGTGCAAAAATAATAGAATTTTGCCAGAAAGTCACAAGCCAACACTTCCAGAAGTTAATAGTTGTTAACTTTTGTACTAAAGATTATGGAGTAGCTAGAATTATAACTTGAATTTTCTTAAATATAAGAAAATAAACTTATTTTATAACTTGCCTTTTGTTCAAACATTTTTAGAATATCTTTATTCATTATTAAATGTCAGTCTTCATTTTAGTTAGATTTATTTTATTGGGTTATTTAGTAATCTTAAATATAAAGGATCTCCTGAGCTATATAGCTTTTCTGAGTCTATGTTATTACTCCCCTCTGCTTAACTTAGTAGGGCATAAGAAAATTGACCTGGGGAAACTGATGGATAAAGTACAGTGTATTACAGGTAAGGAGAAAGTTAACACATATGTAATGTTTTATAGTAAATTGATTTTATTTTCCTTGAATTAGACATCTTTGAGAGAACACCAAGTAATAAAAATATACTCAATCTTATATAAAAAAATTTACATAAGATTTTAAGATTTAATGTTTTTAAAAGAGGACTTGGGCCTTTTAAAATCTGAGATTAAAAAGTATGCTTCAATGAGAGAATGATTTATATTTTAAAGGCTGCTCAAGTCAAAGTAAAGACATTTAAATACAAGAAAAGTTGATAGTATATCAGGCCAAAAAAGGTCAGAGTTTTTTTCAATTATTTCTAGTTTTCAAGTTTATATAATTTTAACTCTTTTGGAATTTCATTCGTGTGTGCAGTGTGTTTTGATCATACTCACCTCCCACTCCTCCCACTAACTCCTCCCAGCTTCATGTCCTGTGAGTCCGTTTGTGCTGCCTCTGTACTCATGGGAGTTGGACTCTGCACCTGAGGGTGGATGATCTACCAGGGCCTCACCCTCAAAGAAACTGACTCCCCATTCTCCAGCTAGGAGTGGGGACTCATAAACCCCCATACTGGAATGTTGATTGGCTTCATCTTGTGTAGGTAACTACAGCCACTGTGGGTTCAGAAGTATGGCTGTCCCTGTCGTGTCCAGAGGACACTGTTTTGCCCAAGTCCTCCCCAACTTCTGGCTCTTGAAATCTTTCCCCTCTCTGACTCTTTTCTGAGATGCTCCCTGAGCCACTCAGGAGGCAAGCTAACTTGTTCTCTTAAAGCTTTTGAGTAAAGGGGAGGCAGGGTCAGTGATGCCTCCGTAAGTTCTTTTACTGTGCGGAGTTGTTTTAGCTATCCTGGGCTTTTTGTTTTCCATATGAAGTTGAATATTGTTGTATTGGACTTTGGATGGGAATTTCATTGAATCTGTAGATTGCTTTTGATAGGATAGTCATTTTTTCTATGTTAATCCTACTGATCCATGAGCATGGTAGATCTTTCCATCTTCTGTTATTTTCTCCAGTTTCTTTCTTCAAAGACTTGAAATTCTTGTCATGCATGTCTTTCACTTGCTTGACTAGAGTTATGCCAAAATATTCTATATTATCTGGCTATTGTGAAGGGTGTTGTTTCCCTGATTTCATTCTCAGCTGTTTACCATTTGTGTATAGGAGGACTACTGATCTTTTTAAAATTAATTTTGTATCCAGCCACTTTGCTTAAAGTTTTTATCTTCTGTAGGAGTTCCCTCGTAGACGTTTTGGGGTCGTTTAGATATACTGTTATAGCTCTGCAAATAGCAATACATTGACTTCTTCTTTTCTAATTTGTATCCCCTTGATCTCCTTTTGTTGTCTTGTTGCTCTAGCTAGAACTTTAAGCACTATATTGAATAAATATGGAGAGAGTAGACAGCCTTGTCTTGTCCCTGATTTCAGTGGAATTGCTTTAATTTTTTTCTCCATTTAATTTGATGTTGGCTGTTGGCTTGCTGTAAATTGCCTTTATTATGTTTAGGTATGTTCCTTGTATTCCTGATCTCTCCAAGACTTTTATCATGAAAGGGTGTTGAATTTTGTCAAAGGCTTTTTCAGCATCTAATGAGATGAGCGTGTGGCTTTTTTTTTTTCAGTTTGCTTATATGGTGGGTTATATTGACAGATTTTCATATGCTGAACCATCCCTACATCCCTGGGATGAAGCCTACTTAATCATGGTGGATGATCTTTTTAATGTGTTCTTGGATTTGGTTTGTGAGTATTTTATTGAATGTTTTCGCATCGAAGTTCATGAGGGAAATTGGTATGTAATTCTCTTTCTTTGTTGAGTCTTTGTGTGGTTTGGGTAGCAGGGTGACTGTGGCTTCATAAAATGAACTTGGAAATTTTCCTTCTGTTTCTATTTTATAGAATAATTTGAGGACTATTGGTATTAGCTCTTAACTTTTGTAACTGGTAGCTAGCAAGAAAATGTCCATTTCTTTTAGGTTTTTCCAATATTGTGGAGTATGGGTTTTTGAAGTATGACCTAATGGTTCTTTGGATTTCCGCAGTGTCTGTTGTTATGTCCCCCTTTTCGTTTCTGATTTTGTTAATTTGGATATTCTCTCTTGGTCTTTTGGTTAGTTTGGATAAGGGTTGTCTATCTTGTTGATTTTCTCAAAGAGCCAACTCTTTCTTTAATGGATTCTTTGTATTGTTCTCTTTGTTTATGTTTTATTTATTTCAGCCCTGAGTTTGACTATTTCCTGCCATCTACTCCTCTTGGGTGTGTTTGCTTCTTTTTGTCTAGAGCTTTCAGGTGTGTTGTTAAGTCACTAGTATGAGATCTCTCTAATTTCTTTTTGAAGGAACTTAGATCTATGAATTTTCCTCTTAACATCACTTTCATTGTGTCCCATAAGTTGGAGTATATTCTATATTTGTTTTCATTGAATTCTAGAAAGTTTTTAATTTCTTTCTTTATTTCTTCCTTGACCCAGTGATCATTCAGTAGAGAGTTGTTTAGTTTCCATGAGTTTGTAGACTTTCTGTTGTTTCTGCTGTTATTGAAATCCATCTTTAATCCATGGTGGTCTGATAGGATGCAGAGGATTATTTCGATTTTCATATATCTGTTGAGATTTGCTTTGTGACCAAGTATATGGTCAATTTTGGAGGTTCCATGGGGTGCTGAGAAGAAGGTGTATTCTTTTATGTTTGGGTGAAATGTTCTGTATATATGTCTATTTGAGTCATAAAGTCTGTTAGTTCCATTATATCTATGTTTAGTTTCTGTCTGGATGACCTGTCCATTGGTGAGAGTGAGGTGTTGAAGTCTCCCACTATTAGTGTGTGGAGTTTGATGTGTGATTTTTAAGCTTTAGTAATGTTTCTTTTACAAATGTAGGTACCCTTGCATTTGGGACATAGATATTAAAAATCAAGACATGATTTTGGTAGATTTTTCCTTTGATGAGTATGAAATGTCCTCCATTTCTTTTGATTATTTTGGTTTGAAATCTATTTTGTTAGATATTAGGATAGCTACACCAGCTTGCTTCTTAGGCCCATTTGCTTGGAAAATCTTTTCCCAATCCTTTACTCTGAGGTAATGTCTCTCTTTGATGTTGAGGTGTGTTTCTTGCATGCCAGCAGAAGGATGGATCCTGTTTTTGTATCAATTCTGTTAGCCTGTGTCTTTTTATTGACGAATTGAGTCCATTGATATTGAGAGATATTAATGGACAATGATTAGTAATTACTATTATTTTGGTGGTGGTGAAGGTGGAATTGTGTGTGTGTGTGTGTGTGTGTGTGTGTGTGTGTGTGTGTGTGTGTGTGTTTTCCTTCTTTGGGCTTTGCTGATGTGAGATTATCTATTGCCTGTGTTTTTCTGGGTGTAGTTAACTTCCTTGGGCTGGAGTTTTCCTTCTAGTACCTTCTGTAAGGCTGGATTTGTGAAGAGATGTTATTTAAATTTAACTTTGTCATGGAGTATCATGTTTTCTTCATCTATGGTGATTGAAAGTTTTGCTGGGTATAGTAGTCTGGGCTGGTATCCATGATCTTTTAGAGTCTGCAAGGCATCAGTCCAGGTCCTTCTGACTTTTAGAGTCTCTGCTGAGAAGTCAGGTGTAATCCTAATAGGTCTACCCTTATATGTTACTTGGTCTTTTTCCTTTGCAGCTCTTAATATTTTTTCTTTGTTCTGTGTGTTTAGTGTTTTGATTATTATGTGGCGATGGGGCTTTCTTTTCTGATCCAATTTATTTGGTGTTCTGTAACCTTCTTGTACCTTTATAAGCATGTCCTCCTTTAGGGTAGGAAATTTTTCTTCTATTATTTTGTTAAATGTATTTTCTGGGTTTTTAAGTTGAGATTCTTCTCCTTTTCTATTCCTATCATTCTTAGGTTTGGTCTTTTCATGGTGTCCCAAATTACCCGGATATTTTGTGTTAGAAGTTTTTTAGGTTTAACATTTTCTTTGACCAATGAATCTATTTCCTCGATCATATCTTCAGTGCCTGAAGTTCTCTTTTCCACTCTTGTCTTCTGTTGGTGATATTTGCATCTGTAGTTCCTGTTCACTTACCCAAAATTTTCCATTTCCAGAATTCCCTCAGTTTGGTTTTTGTTTTTGTTTTTTTTTTGTTTTTGTTTTTGTTTTGTTTTTTGTTTTTTGTTTTTTTGGGTTTTTTTTTGTTTTTTTTTTTGTTGTTGTTGCTTCTATTTCAATTTTCAGGTCTTGGATTGTTTCCTTCGACTGTTTTGTTTGTTTTCTCTTGGCTTTCTTGGCATTCTTTAAGGGATTTATTGACTTGCTCCAATTTTTTGGTATTTTTCCTCGATTTCTTTAAGGGAGTTTTTCACTTCCTCTTTAAGGAGCTCTATCATCTTCATAAAGTTGTTTTAAAAGTCATTTTCTTGTACTTCAGTTGCATTGGAATATTCAGGTCTTGCTGTCCTATGAGAGTTGGGCTGTGGTGGTGCCATATTGCCCTGGCTGGTGTTGATTGTGTTCTTATACTGATGTTTAGGCATCTAGGTTTGGGATGCTTATAGGTCTACGTCCTGATTTCTGAGTTTGTCTTTGTTGGACCAGTATTTTTTTTGTTCCTTGGTTTCTCATTCCCTTTTGGTCTTCTAGTCTTTGTGGCCTAGATTTCTGGTGGCTGGAGTGACCTCTGATCTAGTAGGGAGTCTCTGTTCAAGTTGGGAGCTGATCTGGTTGTTAGCTTAGCCTTTGGTACAGCGGCGGGGCGGGGGGGGGGGGGGTGTCCTCTGTTCTTCTGACTGGTATGGCCTGCACCCAGCAGTGGAAGTCCTCCACAGGGGCAGGCCATGAAGTGGGAGGGGCATAAAGTAGAATGGGTTTTTAGGAACAGAATCTAGGGAGTAAGGGCAGTTCAGCTGGCCGGCTGGTCACTCACCTGTTCTTACTCCACAAATCCATTCTTTATGACTGAATAAAACGCGTTGTCTCTATTAATGTGTTGATGCTCCTGTTTCTGTGACTGACTTTTGTGAGTAGGTAAACAGAAAGGTTGGCCACTCTGGAAAACTGGAGGCTTGTGATTTCAATTTTTGTGCAATTAAATTAACTCATAATGCAACTATGAAAAAGCCACCTGCTCAGTTTATTTGCATCTTTATTAATTAGAATATTTGTTCTGTTGATTTTTAAGTTCCTCTTATATTCAGGAGGCTAATAACCTGTGGGATGAATAGTTGGCAGAGATTTCCCCATCTGTAATCTTATCATTTTAGTGTAATTTGCACAGAACTTGTAAACTTAGTGAGATCCAACTTATCATTTCTTGTTCTTACTTTCTTTTTTTTTTTTTTTTTTTTTTTGGTTTTTCGAGACAGAGTTTCTCTGTGTAGCTTTGCGCCTTTCCTGGAACTCACTTGGTAGCCCAGGCTGGCCTCGAACTCACAGAGATCTGCCTGCCTCTGCCTCCCGAGTGCTGGGATTAAAGGCGTGCGCCACCACCGCCGGGCATTGTTCTTACTTTCTAAGTAGAGTCCAACTCAGACAGTCATTACTTATGCCTACATCTGTAAGTATTTCTTATTTACATTTTAAAGTCTCAAAGTTCCAGGTCTTACCTCCTGATTTTTAAACAGGTGAGAGGTGGGGAATCTAGTTTCCATCTTCTACAGGTGTGAATGTCCAATTTTCTCCATATTAGTTATTGAAGAAGCTGTTTTTTTCCTGTGCGTGTTATTGGCACCTTATAAAGAATGTGATGGCTGTAACTATGTGTATTTATCTCTGGGTCTTTTGTTCTGTCCATTCATCATATATATGTTTTTGAGCCATGGCAAGGCTATTTTATTCTGTTGGGCTCTGTAGTAGTTTCAAGTCAGGTATTGAGATATCTCCTGTATTGGGTTGTTTGGGCTTTTTTTTTTTCCTCTAGAGTACTCTGGTATTTGGAGGTCTTTGACTTATCTAAATGAATGTTTGGATTTTTTTCCTACTTCTGTAAAAAGCATCATAGCAAATTTAACAGGACTTATATTAGATCTGTACATCACTTTTAGTAATATGGCCACTCTAGTAATATCAGTTCTGCTAATCCATGTAAATGAGAGCTCTTCTCATCTTCTGCTGCCTTCTATGATTTCCTTCTTCAGTCAGTGCCTTGTAGTTTTTGTTATAAAGGTTCACATTTAATGAAATTTATACATAGGTGCTTGATTTCAATGCTAATATAAGACTGTTTTCCTGCTAGGTGGTGGTGGCACGCACCTTTAATCTCAGCACTTGGGAGGCAGATGCAGGCAGAGCTCTGTGAGTTTGAGGCTAGCCTGGTCTACAAAGCAAGTTCCAAGATAGCCATGGCTACACATAAAAACCCTGCCTCAAAAACAAACAACAACAAAAAAAGTTTTCCTGACTTCTTTCTCATTAAACTTGTCATTGGTACATAGAAAAAGCTACTAAATTTGCATGCTACTAATGGCCAAAGTTCTTTAGTAGGTCTCATGGTCTTTCTGGTGGAGTCTTTCAACTTTTTAAACTACAAGGTCATATCATCTGAAAACATGGACAATTTGGCTCCCCCGTTTCCTGTTCCTATATCTTATTTCTTTTTCTTGCTTTATTGCTTTGGCTAAGATTTCAAGCACTACAATAAAAATAAGTTGTGAGAGTAGACACTGTTATTCTGATTTTAGACTTTAAGTTCTTCCTTAGTAGTATGGTATTGGTTATTGGTTTGCCATAAGTAGCTTTGGTTATGTTAAGGCATACTCATTTTATCCTACTTTCCCCAGAATTTTTGTCTTGAAGGAATGTGAAATTTTATCAGAGGCTTTTTCTGCATCTGTTTAGTTGACCATATGATTTTTGTCCTGGATTCTATGTGTAAGTCATATTATGTTCTACCATTCACATACATTGAACTATCCTGACATCCCTGGAATAAAACAAATTTGAATATGGTGTATAATCATTTTTACTGTGTTATTGCAAATATTGTGTAGAGAATTTTGTGTCTCTGTCCATCCAGGAAATTGGTGTATAACTTTCTTTCTGATATTACCATTATTATACTCCTGTCTGGTATAAGTTTCAGGGTATAATTGGATTCATGGTATGAATTTAGAAATGTTTGTTCCTTTATTATTTTCTAGGATAGTTCTTTATTTTTATTTTCTAGGATAGTTTAAGGAGCTCTGATGTTGGTCCTTCTTTAAAGATCTGATAGAATTCATGAAATAATCAGTTTGGCCTTGGAGTTGCCTTATGAAAACACTCTATTACTGCTTCAGTCTTGTTGCTTGCTCCTTCCTGGTCTACTTAGGTTGTTTATATCCTTAGTTCAACTTTGGTATGTCATATGCATCCAGAGACTTCTCCTATTCTTGTAAGTTTTACCACTTATTGCATTGAAATTTTTCTAAATGTTCCCCAATGATCACCAAGATGCATGTAGTGGTTTTGTTATACATGCATTTTCATCCCTAATTTTATTGATGTGGGCCTTCTCTCCGTGTGTTTTGGTCAATTTGATTAAGAGTTTTTAAATCTTATTTACCTTTTTAAAGAACCAACTATTTGTTTCACTGGCCCGTGTATTGTTTTTTAAGTCTCTATTTCATTAGTATCTGCCCTGATATTTATTTGTTCATTCTGTCTACCAGTTTGGTGATAGATGTTAGTCTGGATGGTCTTCTTATTGGTGATAATGAGGTATTGAAGTCCTCCAATATTATTGTATATTGACCTGTTGGTCCCTTTATGCCCAGTATTATTTCCTTTATGAAATTTAAAATGTATTTGCAATCATTATATCTTCTTGATGAGTTATTAGATTACAGTGAATTTCTTTTTTTCTAATTTTGGCTTGAATTCTTTGTCAGATGTAAGTATTACCTTTAGATTCCAATGTTTTATACATTTTCAGCCTGCATCTTTCTGGCTAGAAAAGTGTGTTTCTTCCAGACAATAACAGCTTTTATACTGTTGGCCATTCAGACAATTTGCAACTTTTGTTTCGTTTTTGTTTTGTTTTTGAGACAGGCTTTCTTCGTGTAGCCCTGGCTGTCCTGGAACTCACTCTGTAGACCAAGCTGGTCTCGACTTCAGAGATCCACCTGCCTCTGCCTCCCGAGTGCTGAGATTAGAGACGTGCACCACCAGTGCCAGCTCAGTTTGCATCTTTTAATTGAAGAGTTCCAAGCCCTTCTATAGGGTTTCTGCTGAGGGGCTTCTATTAACCCTGAGCTCTGTTGAGTATTCTTCCATGGTCGACTGGCTTTACTCTTTGTTCTTCCCTTTCTCTTAAAGATTTGCTGATTAGCAGAGCAGAACATGCCTGATTCTTTGTTAATTCTTACTTTAGGCTTGTGACTGTCTTCCCTTCCACAATAACCATTGTTTCTTTTACAAGTCTAAAGTTCATTATTTCTGGATTGCACTTGTGCACTGTTCATTCTTGTACACCGTGCCTTTCCATGCCACTCACCCTGCCTCCAGACTCACACCTGATATTTTGTTGGACTCGTGAAAAAAAATAGGATGAGGGGATATCTTAAGGCATCACATTCCCTCTAATATTAATTTTATGGAATTTCATGTTGTTTTTCTTCTTTGTGATATATTTGCTTCTGCTTTGATATTTATTTATTTCCTTCTGCTAAGTTTGAGGTTTGTTTTCTTCTTTTTCTAGTTCCTGGAGGTATAACTTTAGGTTGTTTATTTGACATCTTTCTTCTTTTTTAATATAGATATTTGTTGCTATAAATTTCCCTCAGGACTCCATTTTTTGCAGCCCATAAGTTTGGATATTCCATGCATCCATTTGTAAGAGAGTATCAGGTGTATTCAGATCATTCTGTCCTTACATGAAATGGCTTTGGTCCAATTTCCTAGACCTTAACTTTGGTTTACCAATATTTTGGCAATGCCATGTAGTTCTGTGCTTTTAGCAAACTATAATCTTGTGGGGGAGTTTTTATAAATTATTCAAAGGCATTTAGTAAATACTTGTTACTATAATAAAAAAGATAAGGTCTTATTACCTACTAGTAATCTCTCACAAGCAGAAATTATGATCATCTATTACAACATATTTTGTTATTCTTGTCTTTGTACCAGAGTTGAAGCCAGCACTTCCATTTCCTGCCAGAGATAGCCATGCCCAGATAAAACTAACCTAACTCTATTATGAATTGAGTGGAAGATGTCATTGTCATTCTGTAATAATTAAATGGTTCTGTGAAATGTCATGTGTTGCCATTTTTATCTGTAGGAAAGGAAGTTGATATCCATGATGCAGCGAAAGTTCTTCAAGATATGGGAATAGAACTTACAGACTCACAGCTATCCAAAATAGTGAACAATGTACCAGTTGATGGTAAGTGCTTCCCATCAGAATATAACCCCCAAGAGAGACTTATTGTTAAAGTGTGGAAACTAGAATTGTCTCTGTCTGCTTGCTTGCCAGATAGTAATAAGTGACTTATGCCATTTCGTCTTAAGTGATCCTCTCACAGCCCTGTCCAGATATATAACACTCAGTATATAAAACTGAGGAACAGTGATATCACAAGTGGAAAATTCCATGTGACTTCATAATCATAATCAAACATTAGACAACGGAAATGTTATATAAAACTACTTGAGCCTAGGCATATGAGCTAATTATGAAACGTGAATTTCATTTTTAAATTTGGATCCTGTCTTCAAGGCATCTCATTATGTATATTCAAGCACCCCCAGATCAGAAAAGGTCAAAGCACTTCTTTGGATAAGGGATGCTAATCTATATGTCATATGTGTGTGTGTGTGTGTGTGTGTGTGTGTGTGTGTGTGTGTGTGTGTATAGTACTAATGCCTTCTAATCCTTAGTTTGAAAATCACTAATTATATCATCATTATATGAGTTCAGTGTATTTTTATTAACTTTTTCTATTGATCCATCTAACATTAACCAAGAGTGCATGAGAAAAGAGAAAGTAGAGAGTGATATAGTAGGAAACTAAGGAGATATCACAAAAGGAAGGAAAGGATGTGTTGTGGCATGTTAGTGAAGTTAGAACATTCCATACATTCTGTGTAATTTCATTATTTATTGGTAAATCAAAAAAGTCCTTGACAATTTACAAGGAAAGTTTCTAAAATTACTGGTTCGTAAAGCTCCACTTTGCCCTTCTGCGAGCTGAACAGTTCTTTTCCTCCAGATGGAAAAGTCTATCTGAGACGGTTGCTGGACGGTATGCAGTTCTTTAAAGGTAAGAGGGACACTAAGTCAAGTGAATGAATCTGGGACCACAGTGTTTGTCATTGATACCATTTCCTTGTGATTGAAGTGTGGATACATTTGGGCTTTTTCATACATCCACCTATATTTTACCCAGTAATTTCCTTCAATGTAACTGGGAAAGAGTGTCTATGTCCTCATGCAGTTTTTTTTCAGACTTTAATAAAAGAAGAAAATATCAGAACTTGGGTCTCACAGTGGTTAAAAAAAAGTAGGGTGAATTATCATATCTTGAGTAAATTTAGTCAGTGGCAGAGACTACTAATCTGACATTTGTGCCAGAAGTAAGAACGTTACAAAGGCTCCATGAAAGTGGAGGGACATAGACTAATAAGACATCTGGGAAGATGCAGGGCACAGACACTCTTTCCCAGTTACACTGAAGGAAATTACTGGGTAAGATATAGATGGATGTATGAAAAAGCCCAAATGTACCCACACTTCAATCACAAGGAAATGGTATCACAAGCCATAAGCACATCCACCAGACCCATGTACCACCAAAACTACCACTAAGATTTTTACTTGAATTCACTTACTTTTAACCAAAATGCTTCCAAATTGGACTTGCAACCCAGCATTCTTAAGATACTAGAAGTTAGTTATAGATACAACAAGAGCAAAACAAAATGAATTAGAAATACTGGGCATATTGTCACCTTTCTGTGACTTGGTGAGGCATTGCTTTGTCACATCTAGCTTTCTCTAGTGGGTGTCTCCTCCATAAAGATTAAAGTGACAGGCACTAATTCTCTGTTAGATTCTGCCAGTATTGAAGCTCTTCTTGGGCCCTGGTGTTTGGATTGAAAATGACAAACATAATTCTCAGGGATTGTAAGTTTTCTCCACAGTTGAGGGACACTAACTTTTGCTTGTCTCTCTTTCTCTCCACAGGACCCAAGGTTGATGCCAGTAGAGTGGACACAGTTTTGGGAAATATGGGAATGAATCTCAGTCAAAGGGAGCTTCAAGATCTAATGAAAAACCTGAAAGTTGATGGTAAGAGTTTTGACTATTATTGAGCTCTCAGGAAAAAAACTAATCATAAAAGCCTATTTTAATAAGTGCTTATTTGACATCAGGAAATGCATTCTGAAACCTTGGGTCAGAAGGAGGAACATACCCTGTCTCTGGCTGGCTTCAGGCACATTTTAAAGAAAGATTTGGATGACACCACCCCCTCCACCATATCTTCCAATGCCAGCTCCTTTCTACTTTATCTTTTTCATTTTGTTTTGTTTTGTTTTGTTTTTTTTAGACAGAGTCTCACTATGTAGACCATACTGGCCTCAAACTCACAGAGATCCACCTGTCTCTGCCTCCTCAGCTGGGATTTAAAGGTGTGTACCAGGAGGCCTGGCTTCAATCTTTCCTGATATAAAGAAAGTAGGGAGATTTGGAGATTTGAAAGGTGTTACTCAAATTTCAGTCCACCTCGTTGGCCACCTTCATGAGTAGGTAGCCTCAGTGTTTATTTTTAAAGAGAGAAGCACTGAATCTTTATGTTCTTTTAATGTAACTAAAGTAAATCTGCTCCACATAGCAGCCTTCTAACTCAGTGCCCATGTGTCTATCTCTTACATGGTTCTCATGGAGAAAAGTCTATGGTAAACAGCTTGAACTACAGCTTTCTAAACTGTGGCTCACGATCTATTAGAAGTAATATAAATGACTGGGGGGGGGGTGCAAAAAATGATAACGGTATAAGATTTCTGAAAGCTAGATAGCCAAAAACTAATTCAAAATCAGTCACATAACAAATCTGAAGTATTCTGAGTGCTCATCCATGGTGCATTGGGAAGCTTCATGGCAGCCTTGGTTGTGAGCACACAGAGGTGCTCCACACCTTATGTGTAGCCACACCACACGGCAGCAGTGAAAGCTGCCTGAAATGCATTGGCATGGACTAAAAGTACTGTATGTTGTGGACTGCAGTGTTTTCTTATGTACATTCAGTTTTTTCACCCTCCTAAGTGGATCTCAGGCACATACCATCCATGCTTCACACTGTGCATGTACTTTCATTATATGTGTTTAAATTATTTTAACACATGTGAATTGAGAATATCATATTATCATATTTCATTTCAATCAGTCCATTTGTCATTATGAAGGGTTTTTTTACTTATGGTAATGTCTTGCTTTAAAGAATACTTTGTCCAGTGTTACCAATGCTACTAGACATGTCTGTCCTGCTTACACAGCCTATCTTTATCTTTCCTTTTCCACAGGTCTAAAGGGTACATTTTATGAATAGCATATAGTTGGGATGTTTTAATTGAGTCTGATGATCTCTGCCTTTCAGTTGAAGCTTTTATTACTTTTAATGTGATTACTGATACAAACCTACCCAAGGTGGTTGCTGAGTTTGGCTGAGTGCTCACATCTGTAACCTTAACATCTGTCAAGACAGAGCATTTCCCACCTCCATGACCTTCCCTTGTGGCCTATCCTAAACCATCTCTACCCCAACACAAAATCAACTGGTACTCTTATTTTTCTCAAATTAGTTCTGCCTACCCAGGATGGCATGTAGTAAAACTACTGTGTGTGTCCTTTATAAAGTCTGTCTGTCTTCTTTCTAACACTGCACAATAATTACTCCGAGAATTAGTGGCACAAAGCAACTATATTTTGTGACTACAAATTCTCTAGGTGGGAATGGGGTGTGACCTGGTAGGTTTGGCTTCTTTCTGATATGTGACATCTGAAGTTGGCTCGTCTCTCATGTGCAGTAGTTGATGGCAGCCATTGGATTAGCATTAGGGCAGTCTGTTTCTCTCCACATGGACACCCCATGCATCTACTAGCTTGAGCTTTCTCACAGCATGGACACTGAGATCCAAGTTCAAGCATCCTAACAGACAGGGAGGTAAAAACTGCATCCTCAATGTAACCTAACCTAGAAAGTCACACAGCATGCTTTCACTACATTTCTGTCAAAGGAGTTGCCAGACCCTACTCCATTCAAGGTAGTTTCTGGGTGAGGAGCTTGTCAGCCACATCTCAAAAGAAGCATGTGGGGTAAGAGAATTACTTTACATATGTTCCTACCATGAGTGAAGCTGCTGAGGACACAATACAAGACAGTGTGGATGTGTGCATACTTTTCCTGCGGGTAAATGTCTCAGAGTGGAAACAGTGCATCATAGTCTTCAGTTCTATAAGAAATTGACAGATGGTTTCCAGAAGTGGATGTGCCATTCTGTACATTGTACATCCTCCACAATGCTAACAAGTTCTGTTTGTCTTCACTCGTTATCAGCATTTGGTGTTATCAGTTTGGGGGGAGGGGCAGTAACACTGGGGAGCAAATGCAGGCCCACACCTGCATGCCATGAAGACATCACTGCAGAGCCAACTTCCCCAGTCCCTGCCTTCAGGTGTGGACTTTCAATCATTCCATCCCCAAATGGCTTTAATTCAAATTTCCTTGACTCGTTAGAATATTGAGTGCTTCTAAAAGTGCTCATTAGAAATTTTGTGCCGCTTTTCTCCCTGTAGGTGAGAGGCAATTTTGCTTTACTCAATTTCATTTAAAAATGAGTTTAAAGCCAGCGGTGGTGGCGCACGCCTTTGATCCTAGCACTCGGGAGGCAGAGGCAGGCAGATCTCTGTGAGTTCGAGGCCAGCATGGGCTACAGAGTGAGTTCCAGGAAAGGCTCCAAAACTACACAGAGAAATCCTGTCTCGGAAAAAAAAAAAAAAAGAATTTAAAATTAAGATCTTTAACTAAGATAAATAGAATTGGCTACAGTATACACAGTATACATGCATAAAATTATTAAAAATAAAGAGGTTTTCTCAAACTGTCCCATTTGTAAACACCACAAAACTATACCAGGCTGCAAAGTACATTTAGGTTCTGATCATTTATATGTGTGTATGCTTAAATTGGTAAAGAGCTTCTCTGGGTATACCTTAGTTAATAAGGTTCTGGTTAACTTTTTTTGCTTACTTTAGATTATTTATCTTAAACTGTCATTCAGATTTCCGTGTGCTCGGCATGCCAGTCCCATTTCAGGCAGGTGTGGGCTCATTCTTACGACTGGACTTCAGCTTGTTCTCTTGAGGAGATCGATACAGCCAACTCCTCAGCTCAGCACCGTCTCCCTAGTCCCATTGTCGCATTTCTGTTTGTTTTGTGTCTTTCAGAAAACAATAAAGTTGACGTGAAAAGGGTAATAAGTGAAGCAAAATCTTTCACAGGTAAAACATTACTAAGACGCTTTTATTTTAATAATGCTGATGTGTTTTGCTTGGATTTCCCCAATATTGCATTGTAAGTTTATTAATGTTCATATTTTAAACATTTATAATGAAATTTTTTGCATCCAATTTTTCTTCTGTCTTTGACCTTGAATTAAAGTTCAGCCATACAAAGAAATAGTGATATTTAATAAATTACAATTTGTGGTTTCTGACAATACCATGCTCATCTTTCGCTGATGTTTTAATGGGAGATCTCAGATCAGCTATTCATGAGTTGAAAGGTCATTCCTTCCCTCCTACCTTCTTGTTTTGAGACAGGACTCTGCTATGTGACCCAGGATGACCTTGAACTTACTGTGTAATGGTAGGGTGGTCTCGAGCTTGAGTCTTTGTGCCTCAGCCTCCCACATGCTGGAATTGCAGGCATGAGGATCCATACCCGTTCCTTATTCTTTTCACCCCTCCCATCCTGACCCTCTTTTGCCAAGGCTTGTACCCTCTATTCCCCACAGCCACGTCTGCTCATTGCCTGCCTCACCTGCCTCTAGGCTTTGTGAGCTTGGAAGCTCTTGTTTAGAATCCAGGCAAATACTAAACTAATAATAATACTTCAGAGGAGTGAAGTGAATTGAGCTACTTCAGTCATAATCACATCTTGCAGTGTTAGGGGGTGACCAGGTAAGCCTGACTTAGTGGCCCATTAGAAATTATTAATTTCTTTGGGGTTGAGATGTCTTTTTGCCAACAGGCTCAGAAGACCATGCTCCCTTTTTATCAAAAATTAAGAAATATGTTTGCCTTACTAGGGAATGTGTGAGAAGGTGATTGTAAGGGTGACATTGTATGGGCCAGCCTTTTCATGATTTCAGATCCTAAAATTGTCATATACCAACAATTTTTCTTTTTCTTTCAAAGGAGGGAAAGTTGATGCAAATAGACTTCCAAATGTTTTGGACACATTTGGTATTTCACTCAGGCCTTATGAAAGCTCAAAGTTGCTAGATATGTTGCCAGTTAATGGTAAGTATCATGGCCACCATCTGGGCTTGTTAGATAGTTTGGTTTTGTGTCTAGTCTATGTAAAGAAGTTCCCAAATTAAAAATGCTTGAAAACTATTAAAACCTAATGATGATGCAAATAAAATCTCATCATTTAGATTTTAATTTAAGAATCATCAAATCTTTCAGCTGTAAATTTGCTACCAAAGTTCTTTATTGGTCTTGTTTTTAGCGAGGGGGCTGAGAGGGAGGGAGGGAGGGAGGGAGGGAGGGAGGGAGGGGGAGGGCTAGAAAGTAGAGGTGGGTGAGGGAAGAATGACCGACCGCAGGGGACAAAACAGCTAAATGACATCACTGCATGTTTTCACAGGAGTGAAATGTAGACTTTACCAAAAAGGTGATTTTATATATCTTAAAAAATTATATGTGTGCATGTAGTCAGACACATATGGGTCCATGCATGTGTAGAAACCAGAAGGCAACCTCAGATGTCATCCTCAGACCTTCACTGCTCTGGAGTCCACCCCTATGGCTAGCAGGGCCGGCCAGTGAGCCTGCTGGTCCTCCTGGTCTCCTCCCCCCCCCCCACTGGATTTACAAGCTTGCCACACAATTGCAAAAATTGGGGAGATGTAACTCAGATACCAGTGCTTACAAGATGAGCACCTCACTGTCGGACCCACCCAACCCAAGGCCAAAAAAAGAAGATAGATTTCTCAACTTCACTATGAAATGAAATAAAACTAAAAACAAATCAGGGAAACAAAAAAATACATTCAACTCCATAATTCAAAGACAAACCCACTGTTAGTATTTTCGTGGATTTGCTCTTCATGCTTTGAAGACATGAAATGACGGATTAATTGACAGATAATATTTGTGTTTGTATTAACTTGTTTATAACTCTTTTCATGGCATTAATATGTGTTCTGATCATAGAAAACCTTGGTGATATAAATAAGCCAAAGTAAAACTGTATCTAGGCCTTCCTCAAAGCTGTACCTACTGTCAAAGTTGTGATCCATGTGCTCCAGCACCCTGACTGTAACTCTGTCTTCACTTCATACTCTTAAAGATAAATCTGCACAGACAGCCTTAAGTCTCTTGAGACTTAGTTGTGAATGAGAAGGTATTTTGTTTATTTCCTTCCAGAGAAGCTGTTATAATTGAACACCCATCAACAGTGGTTAAGGTCTTTATTTCCCTCACATTTATAATACAGGGAAAAAAGAGGGATTTTAGACATCTCATTATTATTTGAATTTCACTCAGGTATCACTGAGACTGAGCATTTTGGTTCATATATTATCTGTATATATTTGAAATGCTCTTTAGGCAAAGATTTTTTTGAATTCCTTTTTTTCTGAGGTAGGAGTTGTGTACTCTCTTTTGACTCTTATTTCCAAAACACCTTTTTTTTTTTTAAATAGATGATGGAAGAGTTTTTCAGAAACAGTTGGTGAAGGCCGTGAAGTCTCTTGATGGTAAGGAGCAAAATAAAAAGGCCTTTAAGGCTATTCTTTGTACTGTGGAAAGAAGCATCCTGCTTTCTTGTACTCCTGTGTCCTCACTTAGGCCAGAATAGTGTCTGTATCAACCAAGTACTTTCCCATGCCGGAAGTGTTAGGCTCCTGTGGATTTCCCTCCTCTGGGTCCTAAGGGGGAATTATTGTTTTGACTAGAAAACAAAAAAGAAATGAGGGGTGTGGTCTCTCACCTAAAGACGTAGGTCAAACCACATGAGAAATGGAAGAAACAAAGTGCTAAAGAGGCCCACAGAAATCCACAAAGATACCCCCACAAAAAGACTGCTGGCAATGGCCGAGAGACAGCCGGGACTGACCTACTCTGGTGATGGGATGGCCAAACACCCTAATAGTTGGGCCAGAAACCCCATCCAAGGACTGAGGAATCTGGATGCAGACATCCATGGCTAGGCCCCGGGTGGAGCGCTGGGAGTCTAATTAGCGAGAAAGAGGAGGGTTTATATGAGCGAGAATTGTTGAAACCAAGGTTGGATAAAGCACAGGGACAAATAGCCAAACGAATGGAAACACATGAACTATGGACCAAAAGCTGAGGGGCCCCCAACTGGATCAGGCCCTCTGAATAGGTGAGACAGTTGATTGGCTTGATCTGTTTGGGAGGCATCTAGGCAGTGGTACCAGGTCCTGGGCTCACTGCATGAGATAGCTGTTTGAAACCTGGGACTTATACAGGGACGCTTGGCTCAATCTGGGAGGAGGGGACTGGACCTGCCTGGACTGAGTCTATCAGGTCGATCTCAGTCCTGGGGTGGACTTGATCTGGAGGAGGTGGGAAAGGGGGGTGGGCTGGGGGGAAGGGGAGGGGGACAGGAAGGGGGAGAACAAGGAAATCTGTGGCTGTTATGTAGAACTGAATAGTATTGTAAAATAAAATAAATAATAAAAAAATTAATTAAAAAAAAACAGTTAGGGTATTCATGAGTGGTGTACAGCTGTAACTCTTTTTACCTGATAAAGAACAAACTTATAACAGTATAACAGTTTGGATCTTTTGAAGTTGTGGTTGCTATATTTCATACTTGGGTTGAGAACTAGCTAGGATTTCTCAGAAAATGATACTTGTATTATGGCCATTATTATCTGGGAACTGAAGTCCTCCACTGATCATGGCTGCTGGGAAGTTACTACTCTTTCATAGAAGGGAGGTCTGGTTAAGCATGGAATTTATGCCATTAGAAAATATGTTCTCTACTAAACGGAGAAAAAGAGTGTTCATGAAATATTTCAGTTGCTATTCTAATCACCCATGCAGGAAAACCCATAATTTTTCCTTTTGCAATTCAGTGTTAATAAACTATGTTCCATGAGGTCAATAGAGGGCTTTTAGAAGGTGTATCTCTGAGTTCTCTGCTTTTAGTAAATATAAAATAAAACCGGTCACAATCACAAAAAAAAAAAAAAAGACTTAGGTCAAAAGTAGAGACTAATCATTTGCAGGGTCATGTAACAAAAATAATTCTTGTTCTACAAAATGTCAGTCAACTTTACATGGGTCTTTTCATAGACTCTTTAAGATGGTTTTGCTCTGTAGGCTTGTGCCCAGCAGAAGCATTGGGGGATTTTACTCTCCTGTTTATTGAGCAAAGTTGAAAGTTTGGGGTTTATCTTGAAATCGTAACAATAATATCAAGAAATGAATGGTGTTTTAAAATGATAATAAAATGGATGACCACCGTTAAATAAAAGATATACTAGAACATACAGCTGCACAGTCCAGTTAGAATTGTTCTGTTTGATTGCATGTTTCCTGTCCCCCTACTCAGAAGGCAGTGTTGATATCGATAGCCTGGATACGTTTTTAGAAAACATGGGGATCGAGATGACAGAGAAAGAATTCATGGATCTAACAACAAGGCTGCCAGAACCCTGTGAGTGCTGTGGGACTGGGGGAAGTGGGGAGCACATGTTCTCTAGTCTTGAAAACAAGGATTTCTCCAGTCAGACCTTGAAAATGTCATAGATTTTCCAAAAGATTAGGGAAAAAGGCTGCATCTGAAAAAAGGTCAGAAAAAAAAAATGCTGTAACTTTACTGCCAGCGATCTAAAATCCAGTTTCTTCCTCTGTGGATACAAAATGCTGTACAAGATAAAGCAAAGCCTTTAAGTCAGAGAATGACCAGGGAGTAGAAACCAGATGAAGGGTTTGCAAGAAGAGCATCAGTCCCATTTGCTTCTCCAACATGTCCAGTTCCCACAGCCGACACTCTGTTGAAAGCTGCTGTTCCCGAGTGCCCTGCTGTGTCCCTGTAGACAAAGTACACGACTCTGGCGTCTTTAATGCTTCTTTCGTTTATTGCCAACCTGTACTCTCGGGTGTGAATTCAGAATTGTCTTCCTTTCTGCCTTTCCTGAGGCTCAGGTGCTCCTTCCCCCAAACCAGCGGGTTAAGTGTTCTCAATGGAAATGTATAGAATGGAATAGGAAATTTCAGACGTACCACAGTTTAACATCAATTGGTATGTTCAGAGGTCTTTAAAAAAAAAAAAAAGATTTATTTATTTATTATGTATACAGTATTCTGCCTGCATATATGTCTGCAGGCCAGAAGAGGGCACCAGATCTCATTACAGATGGTTGTGAGCCACCATGTGGTTGCTGGGAATTGAACTCAGGACCTTTGGAAGAGCAATCAGTGCTCTTAACCTTTGAGCCATCTCTCCAGCCCTGGTGGTCAGAGGTCTTAGAGGTCTTATTGTTGCTTACAATAAGAACAGTTTAAACACTGTCATAAGTTATACTAATAAGCAGTTCTAACCTTAGTTTACTGTTTTTTCCACAACCTTGTTTTTCCTAGATGAGGTCACTTACTTATTGCATTATGCTTAAAATGTCACCTCTTTTACTTCAAACCTGAACTTATGGGTTTCAGTCTAGGAGAGCAAAGTTTTTATTTGTGACTGAGACAAATAGTTGGTCTGATAATCTCATATAAGGGATCATGAATGTGATAGTATTTACCTTAAAATTTTTACTTAAGTGAAAAAATAGAACCAAGGCCATATTTGTTTAATACAAGAATATTCTTTGAAGGACATCTTACATAAATATACTTATTTATCATTCCTAATTTCACTTGCTTTTAAGAAGGACATGGTTTTTGTTTTGTTTTGTTTTTTGTCTTTGTCTTTGTTTTTTTTTTTACATTCATCAGAAACTTGCAGTCAGAATCTGTCCGGGTTTTTATTCTTTCTCCAGTCTTCTGAGAATTATCCAGCCCAAATTGACCACAACTTTTTAGCAATTTGCCTTTAACCAAAATTTATATACCTTCCATTTTTCCATAGGAAAAGTTCCCTTTTCCATTTTCAGTTTGTCAGTTAATATAGTGATTAAAAATGACCATTTAGGCCGGGCGGTGGTGGTGCACGCCTTTAATCCCAGCAAACGGGAGGCAGAGCCAGGCAAATCTCTGTGAGTTCGAGGCCAGCCTGGGCTACCAAGTGAGTTCCAGGAAAAGGCGCAAAGCTACACAGAGAAACCCTGTCTCGAAAAAAAAAAAAAAAATGTCCATTTAGTAAAGAGTAGAGCTCCTGCCTGACCAGCAAATCTAGAAACAAACTCAACAGTTCAGTCCATAAGAATATGTATTAGTCAGGGTTCTGTAGACGAATGGGACTTAAGGAATGTAGAATAGTCTACAGACTGTGGGCCAGCTGGGCCAGCTGGGCCAGCTGGGCCTAGCTGTCTACCAATGGAAGGTCCAAGAATCGAGTAGTTATTCAGTCCATGAGGCTGGATGTCTCAGCTGATCTTCAGTATATGCTGGACTCCTGGAGAAGTAGGCCCTAATGTCAGTGAAGGAATGGATTTGCTGGAGAGAGCAAACAGGCAAAGAAAGCAAGCTTCCTTACTCCATGTTCTACTGCCAGCAGAAGGTGTGGCCCAGATTAAAGGTGGATCTTCCCACCTCAGAGATCCAGATTAGACGTGGGTCTTCCCACTTCGAATGATTTAATTAAGAAAAAAAAATCCCTTACAAGTGTGCTCAGTTTCTTGGGTTTTAGTTAATTTCAGATGCAGTCATGTTGACCATCAAGAATAGCCATCACAAATACAAAGGCACTAGTTTATTAAAAAATGCAGCGTATATTCATGAACTCACAGCAGCCCTGGCTGCCTGCTCAAGATCAAGACAGTCAACATTCTAGCATGGAGGGGGATGGGCTTATGAGCTGAGGGGCTATTGAGGGATTCCAGGGAAGGGAGAGTTGGTTTTAAGGATATAGCCCAACCATGCTAAGCCAAACACGCATATATAGGCAGCGCAGATTAGCCTCTGGTTTATTTTTTTTTTAAGGGCACAAACTTGAAAGGGGTAGGGACGAATTCAGAGAAATTGGGAGGAGTAGGGAGTTAATATGTTCTACATGTATTGTATGCATATATGGAATCCTCAAAAAATTTATAAAAATATTAGAAAACTGTAGCTTACAAGCTATGAGAGTTCAACATGCAGTGGACAACAATCTGAATGTAAGAATTCACAGTAAGAATTAAAAATAAATGGGGATAAATGGATAGTTCAGTCATTACTTACATCCCCACACAAGAATGAGGATTTAAGTTGAATTTCCAGAATCCACATTTAAAAAAACAAAAACAAAAGCACGCAAACAAACAAATCAGCGTTGTGGTACACAGGCATCAGAGAGACAGACAGATGGATGCCTGGGGCTCTCTGGCCAACCAACCTAACCTATATGCAAGTGAGAAACCCTGTCTACAAAAAAACAAGGTAAGCATCTACTAAGGAATGCAACTGGAGGGTGACCTCTGACCTCTACTTATACACACACAAGCATCTATGTGAATGCACGCCCACATGCCACAAACATATACACATACATGTTGTTGTTTGTCTTTGCTCTTTTGGGGGGCCCACCACCCAGCTCCCAAATAAATCACATACAGAGGTTTATTCTTAGTCATAAATGCCAGGCCTTAGCTTGGCTTGTTTCGCGCGCGCGCGCGCACACACACACACACACACACACATACACACACACAAGGAAGTGAAAGTAAAACTGAGATCATCAGGTTGATAGAGACCTTCTCCTATATAAACCAACCCCTGTCAATGCACAGTTTTCACTAGCAATCTAAACAGCATGCAAAAAAAGTGAACTTGCTCACCCTTAATTCTTGACTCCTCTTCTATTTTCTTGCTACCATAACCTCTCACAACTACTCACTAATCAGCATATTCAGCTGTTCCTGCCCTGTCCTATTTCCCACAAGAACAAATTCCTATCTTTAGTATTCTACCCTTAATTCAGACACTTGTGATCCTGGCTGATACTACTAACACAGCCTCCAGGATGGTCTAATGACTATAGTGTTGTCTTAAATTAATCCTACATAAAACAGCCAGGATAATTTAGTTAAAATGTAAATATGACCTTTTTATTCCTCAGTTAGAACCTCCTCAAGGGACAGGAGAGGACCCAGGCTCTTTTCCCAACATCTACATGTTGACATTTAAATGTTGATTGACAAGTATCTGTAACTCCAGTTCTAGGTAATCCAGTGCCCTCTTCTGGCCTCTGCAGGCTCCAGGCATGCAATTTAGTGCACAGACAGCATGTAGGCAAAGCACTGACACACGTAATTTAAAAAAAAATTAAACCCCTTCAAATAAGAGAGTAACGGAGCAATGAATATGATCAAAGTATATTACATACATATAAAAATATCAAAATGAATCCTATTGTTTTGTAAAGTTAATATGTGCTCATTAAAAACTTAAAACCTTCAAAGACCCCCTCATAGCTTACAGACATTTAGTTTAACAATATTCCAGGGACAGTACAGAACACTTTTTATGAATTATTCAATTAATTTATTAATGTCCATTAATGCTTATATTCATTGATACAAGTTTCTATGTCACATATGTCTATTGAACACCAGAATGTATACCTATCTCTATTTCTGTCTTAGTGGTAAAGTCACGGAGAAAACAAATTAATGTAAACTTTACGGACTCAGGATTTTTTTCTGCTGCTGTGTTCCTGGGCACAAGCAATAAAAAGAGTGCTAAGAACTGATAGAGTAATGTGCAAAAACCAGTCATCCGTTTTGACTCATCCTTCTAATCCTCCTACAGCAGTTTTCAATCAGGCCAGATCGAAATGCTTTAGTTGATCATGCTCTGTGCTTCGGTAGCTCCTTTTCCTAGTTCATTCACTGTCACTCTCTAATTATAAAAAGTGACGTAATGCTACCAGCTTTTCAGTGTATACCAGAATGCATGATCAGCATTTCCAAGAAATGTCAAATTAGAAACAGAATGCATCCAGAAAGCTTGAGAGATCTTATCCACAAGAGAATATGGTCCAAACCATCTTAGTTCTTATTGCTGTTAATGGAACCATTGAAGTCCAAAATTGTCTGTTATAGAGGGACAATTTAGTTAATGACTTCGTCAAGGCTGTGCTACATAATTAAAGACTGTATGTTTTTGTCTTTTTACTGAGTTTCGTTTTCTCAATATCTGAATTTTTCCTGTCTTATAGCTGAAGGGAAAGTGAAACTAAATAATTTAATGAAAGAAGTGTATTCTATTTTAGGTAAGTATGAAATTACTTATTTTTTTACACTGCTTTAATGACATCTCCTACTATGTCTTCATTTTCTTGTTAATTTTACCACTTTAACCTTTTGTTAATTAAGCTTGCTTTGAATCACCTATGCTTTTGCAACAAACACATGCCAAAACTTCAGCTATTTCAAAAATTAGACAATGACAAAGGTACTATCTACAGATGTAATTTTGGGGGTGGGTCATCAACAACATTTTCTGGGAAATTAAATGAGCATTGGGTTATTTGAAGTATGTTCCTTACAAGAACATAAACTTGGCCGGGCAGTGGTGGCACAGGCCTTTAATCCCAACAATCAGGAAGCAGAGCCAGGTGGATCTCTGTGAGTTCAAGGCCAGCCTGGTCTACAGAGTGAGATCCAGGACAGGTACCACAACTACACAGAGAAACCCTGTCTTGAAAAAAAACCATGAACTTCGTTGTAAGTAAGAGAGTTTTATATTTCTAAATCCGATGCATAGACTACATGAGGACACAAGTGTCCTCACATGTTGATGGTTTATCTAACAAAGAAAGATGCCAGACATGTTTTGTTTTTCATAATTCGGATTCATTTGATGGTGTTCTGTAACAAAGACAACACATTTCTCTTAATAGTATGAGAATTTTTGAGTTCTAATTCTACTTTTTGGTACCTCTTCAACCAAAGCCACAGAAGACACCATCAGGGTTGCCAAATCTCCTTCACTAGTGCTGATTCTCATTGGAGGAGCTAATGCCTGTGTCAATCAGGATAATTCATCCTGTTCTGTCTTTAAATCAACACTTGGGTGTTTTGTAGTGTAGTGGCTGTGTGCAAGTATTCGAGACTCTCAAGAGCAGAATTCAAATAGCTATGAGATGAAGATAGCAGAAGGGATTATACAAAGGGACTGGAAGGTGCAGGAATCCAAGGCCATTATCTTATCAGGCCTGAAAGATCAGTTCAAGTAATGCCTTAAATCTAAGACAAACAGTCAAGCATATTTTTCTTTTAGCATAGATAATCTCATCCATAGTATGAATCCAAGTACAACATGAAGAATTAGCAATGGTGCAAAGTCTCACCTCATTAGCTAAAGAAAAAGCAAGCTCTCTTCTATTTTAACTGCTTTATTATGTTCTGTAGGGTGATGATTGTGTTACATGATAGTCAAGTGAAATACAGGTTTTATGATGACCTTGAATTAAACAATTCCTGTGAATGGCATCAGCTACACTTAGTAATCCATCCCACCAGTTACTATTTACTTCCTCATAAACATTAGCTGGAGGCCTGGGGATGTGACTCATTTGCTAGAGTCCTTGCCTAGCATACATGAAGCCCTGGATTCAGTCCCCAGCATCACATAATCCACGAATGGTGGCACACTTCACACTGGCACTGGCACTAGGAAGGCGGAGGCAAGAGGATCAGAAGCTCAAGGTCATCCTTGACTACATAGCAAGAACAAGGCCAGCCTGGAATACATGAGAATCTGTCTACTGCTGCTACCCCTACCACTAATAATAATAATAGTAGCAATAATGATAATAATATAATAATGATGTTTCTTCTAACTCTAGTAAAGTGTTGTCCCTAGTAAAACCTAAGTGGATATTAGTACAGAAGATTATATCTTTAAGTCATAAGTGTATGATAGTAAATCAACAAAAAAGAAAATTATGACAAAAAGAATAAAAAAGAATATAAAAAATTAGTAAATCACTGCGTTTTCTTGTTCTGAAGATCTTAAGTGGAAGATTTCTATTTCTTGAAGGATGTGTACTTGTTCTGAGGGTCTTGTATCATAAGTCAGAGGTCCCATCCACATGCACTTTTACTAGAGTGAAGATCTTCATCCCCCTAGAGTTCACGCTGAAGCCCTAATCACCAGTGCAATGGCATCCGGAAGTAGGTGAGCAGGTCATAAGGGCTCGGCCTTCAGGAGTGGACTTCATGCCTCATAAACTGTAAAATGCTTGAGGGGAAATAAACTACTAAACTCTCAAAGACTTTCTAACAACACTCAGTCCTTGTCCAGTCCCAACCCATATTGTTATTCTGGGATCACTGTTAAGATGAGTACTCTCTTCTGTGGCACGTACCTGTGTGTTTTAGAGCTAAGAATGGTCTTGACATAGACATTAGTAAAACTCAAGTATAAATGATTCAAGAAATAACCAAAGAATGAGTGATCATCCTGCAGTCCCTGAGGGCAATAAATTCCACTGCTATGGACAAAATAAACTCTGAATCTGTAAGAATCCAGAATGATTCTTTTCTGTTTATCATACATCTTCTTTGTATTGGTACATAAAAAGTTTAAGTATTATAGCGTGCCAGCTGCATGCATGAAAGACTCTTAGGGATAGTGTCAATGAATTCACCCTCCTTTTTGCACTGCAACATGTTTTGGGACTCTATAGAGTATCGTGATCTCATCTAATCTTGCTTCCTAAAAGCTTCATCTGTAAATACCATTAACGTAAGAATTTTAGCTGGGCGGTGGTGGCGCACGCCTTTAATCCCAGCACTCGGGAGGCAGAGGCAGGCGGATCTCTGTGAGTTCGAGGCCAGCCTGGGCTACCAAGTGAGTTCCAGGAAAAGGCGCAAAGCTACACAGAGAAACCCTGTCTCGAAAAACCAAAAAAAAAAAAAAAATTGTATTATATGTAATATATGAACTTTTGCAAGGCACATTCAACCCATCACATGAATTCTAGATTGCTTTTCCTAATTTTGTGTGTTAGAATTCTGATAGACAGGGGCTAGGAATTTGGCTCAGTGGGTAAAGTGCTTGCTGTGCAGGATGGGGACCTGAGTTCGGATCCCCAGCACCCATGTAAAAAGGGAGGCATCACACTTCTGTAAGCCCAGGACCAGGGACCAGAGGCAACAGGATCCCAGACATTCATTGGCCATCCTGTCTAACTGAAATGGTAAGCTCCAGGTTCAGTGAGAGAACCTGTCTCAGACAATGAAGGTAGAAAAATGATTACAGAAGACACCCTGACATAGTCAACTTATGTCTTCCATGTGAGTTCTCATGGGTGAATGTACTCACACACTCATGTACACATGCATGCACACGCACAAGAATTCAGTTAGGAATCCAATAGAGTCTATAGACCACCTTGGGATGGTCCACATTTCAATAACATTAGTTCTTCTAGTCCATGAACACAGGGTTTCCTTCGGTTCACTTGGTTCTTGTTTCTTTCATCAATTTTCTTTTCAGAAAATTTCCTTAGCTAAATTTATTCCTAGATATTTTTAAATTTTATTTTATTATTTTTTAAATGGTGTGTGTCTGCATACATGAATGAAGAAGCCAGAGGCCTGGATCCTCTGGAGCTGGAGTTATTGGTGATTGTGAGGCACCGGACATGGTTGCTGGGAATGGAACTCAGGTCTTCTGGAAGAGCACAATGCACTCAACCTCTGGGCCATATCTGCAGACCCTTATTCTTAAGTCCTTTTGACAGCTATTGTAAATATAATTTCTTCTTTGGTTCTTTTTTTTTTTTTTTGATAGTTCATTGGTACTATACAAAAACACTACTGATTTTCACATGTTAATTCAGTATCTTATAACTTCATGAGTCTATCTATTAAATATTTTAACATGTTTCTGGTGGGTGATATTCTTTATGTAAGATTGTGTCATCTGTAAGATGATTTAACTTCTGCCTTCCAATAGATATATTGTTTCATCCTTTCTCTTGCCTGATACCTTTTACTAAAGATTTCCACTGCCATGTTAATAGAAGTGACCAGAGTGGCATGCTTAATCTCCTGTTAGAAAAGCTCCATTTTTTACTATAAAGTATGATATATGTTAGCTACAGGTTTAGCATTACTGGCCTTTTAAGGCACATCACTTGCATAACTAAAAGTATGTTTTAATATGAAAAGCCATTGAGCTGAATGATTGTTCTGCACCTATTATGTGATCATATGGTTTTTGTTCTTCGTTCTACTAATATGACATAACTTATATATCAGGGTTTTTTTGCATATTGAACCATCATCACTTTACCATGGTGAAAATCTTTTTGATAAAAGTTTAAATTTGTTTTGTTAATATTTGGTTAAAATTTGGTTTGTCAAATTCTGTATCTGTCTTTGTCAGAGGTACTGGCTTGTGGTTTTCCTTCTTGTGTCTTTTTCTAGCTTTGCTATTAGGATAACAGAACCCAAGTCTATTTTTGAAACACTTTCTCACAAGCATTTACCAAATGCATTTTTGGTACATTCTATTACTTAATAATTAACTAATTAATATAAGACATGTAATATATGTGCCTTTCTACGAGAAATTTATGTGCATCATAACTTGTAGTTACAAATACTATCATTTCAAACTCCTAGAGTAAATATTTAAATTTTACTTCATACAAAAAGCACTCAATTATTACTTGTTTTATGCATAATTAAGGTTCACAGATTTCTTGATTTCACAGGGTCAAGAATCATCACTTTCATGTTCTCAAATTCTCTTCTTGCCGCCATTTGTGTCTTCTAGGAGAGCCAATAGATGTTTATGACCTAGAAGATACGCTGAAAGACATGAAAGTGGAGTTTACAGACAGAGAGTATACGACTCTGATAAGAAGTCTTCCACTTGATGGTAAGCATATGCATATTGTATTGCTATGTATTGCTAAGGATTGATATGTATATAAATCCTTCAGAAGGTTTTTGAGTACTTGATCGTGAGACTTTTCTAAGATGGTAGCAAATTTTTACCAGGGTTTTTTATTTCTTAATATTTTATTCAATATTCATCCATGCACATAATATGTTTTTATCAACTCCATCCCCATTCCCTTCCCTCCAACTCCTCCCTTAAATACCCTCTACTTTTCCCTCCTAACTTCATGTGACCAGAACTTTAAAATCATTTCTTAGAACTTCCAGAATATTTTTGCCAAAAGAATATCTGAATCATTTACTTTTCAATAAACAAAAGCTGTTTCACTCACTCCTCCCAGTAAGGCCTGTGTATTGTCTTTGTTTGCATTAATATCCCAGAGAGTACAAATAAAGATGCAAAAAGGGAAAAATAAGTGAGGTTAGTCACTTATTTATAATTAGAAATTTAAAAACAAATCAAACGGGTTATGTGTTTCAGAGTTTACAGCCAATGGTCATCATGTGCATGAGTGAATAGATTTGCCTCATGAAAGTCTTTCTCAAGGGGCTGGAGAGATAGCTCAGTGGTTAAGAGAATTTGCCTTTATTGCAGAGGACCTAAGTTCAATCCCCAACACCTACATGGTGGCTCACAACTGCCTGTAACTCCAGTCCCAGGGGATCCAATGCCCTCTTCTGGCCTCCCCAGTCAAAGGCACACAAATACTGCATATATGTGCCCCCAAAACACCCACACACATAAAATGCAGAGGGGGGTTTCAAATTGAAAAAAAATATCCTTTCTCCAAACAAACTACATTTCAATGAGAGAATACAAATAAATCTAGAAAGAAACCAATAAAATTGATCTTTTTGAAGTTGTGGGATTGTAAGAATTGTAGTTCATGCCGGGCGGTGGTGGTGCACACCTTTAATCCCAGCACTTGTGAGGCAGAGCCAGGTGGATCTTTGTGAGTTCAAGGCCAGACTGGTCTACAAAGCGAGTTCCAGGAAAGGCGCAAAGCTACACAGAGAAACCTTGTCTCAAAAAACCAAAAAAAAAAAAAAAATGTAGTTCATTGCTTGTATGCTTAAGCAAATCTACCTTATTAATGTTTTCTGACCTGAGTTATCTTTTCTTCTCACAGCTTCAGGAAAGGTGTTTAAGAAAAGGATATTGGATGGTATAAAGACTCTTAAAAGTGAGTGTAAAGCATCATGAGAACAGATAAATATACATGATTCTGATCCTGTTCATGTGCATAAATCCATCTTTATTAAATAGAAATATCATAAATGTATTTTCTCAGAATTATATTTTAGATTTTATTATATTTCCCAACATAATGTGTTGGGCTATTATGCTATAATTCCCTGGGAATTTATCTATACCCATTCAGAATTGAATATGTTTGATATGAGCAAAAGACACCATCATAGAATGAGACACTACATCTAGTTTCAATGTTGTTTCTCCTTACACCTGTCTTCCTGAATCTAGACACTCATGAATAAAATGATAACCATAGAATACCTAAATGAATAAGAGTTTTCCACATTTTAATATCTTTTTAATACCTTACCTCTCCTCAGGGGGAAAAGTTGATGTAAATAACCTGAGCCCATTTCTGGAGACCATGGGACTTGATCTCTCACAGAAGGAATTTGAAGACTTTGTAGAAAACCTACCAGTTGATGGTAAGCTCTATAGGTTTGAGCATCTCCCTCTGGGGACACCTCAGGTTTAACAGCAACCCTAGAAGGCATTGATTTGACATCCAGAGGGTGTTCTGAAAAGTTTACAGTAGAATACAGATAAAAACACATGCTGTCTTTAATTAGTTTAAGTCTCACAAGTGTCCTCCACCATGGACGGCGAAAGGAAATGAGTCCCAACAGACCATTCTCAGGTCAAAGAGTGAAGAAAGAAAATCAAATGAGAAACGTTTGGTAGGCACACCGAATAGTGCGTGATTGCAAAGGAGTCCGCCTATTGGGGATGTGGAAAATAGACTGATGATACTGAATGCTGTGAATGCTTTGCCTGTCCTGAATTAGAGAAGCAATGGCTAGAGAGAAACAGGAATTTTAAAAGATACAGAACTGTGGATACTGAGAATAATTAGGTATTGTGTGTGATATAAGCTTTGGGTTTTAAATACAATAATAAAATGAGAATTTTTTCCAATGGAAAATAATTTGCCAATATTGACTGAAGATGTGGAAAATATAGCTAGGTAGACATGGTAGTTATAAAATTAGTCAGCTCTCTACCACTAGCCATAATGCCAACAAGAAACAACGTCTTAAAACAGGTCTTTCCTTTGTCCTCTTGTTTTGTGGTACTAGAGATTGAACCTAGGGCCTCGCACATGCTAGCTGAGTTCTCTTTACCACTGTGTTATATCACCAATGCAAGCCCAGATAATTATAGAGATAACTTCTTTCAAATCTTCCAATAACTGTTTGTTTTAATGCTGTTTAAATGGATCCAGAAAGCACACTGGGAATGATGGAAGTCTCTTGAAACCTTGAAGTCTACCTCCAGTGACATGCCTCCTCCAACAGGGCCACACCTCCTAATCCTTCCCAAATAGTTTCACCAACTGGGGACCAAATATTCAAACATAGGAGCCAATGGTAGCCATTCTCATTCAAACCAGCACAATGGATAAAACTAAATAGAAAAGGGAGGAAGATATGTTACATCTACTTGGCATTAAATACCTAAAAATATAATGTAAGCATCTAGAACTAAATTTTGGATGTTGCCAGTGTTCTAGCTGGAACAAGGGGAAAGATCCTCACTGTTGCTCTGTGATTTTCTTGCAGAGAATGGAAAAGTTGATATGAAAAACATTGTGGCAAAATCGAAAGATTTCGAGGGTAAGTTTCTCCAATACTGATATGCAAATGCTATAAATAAATATCTTAGGGAGCTGGAGAGATGGCTCAGAGGTTAAGAGCACCGACTGCTCTCCAGAGGTCCTGAGTTCAATTCCCAGCAGCCACATGGTGGCTCACAACCATCTGTAATGAGACCTGGTGCCCTCTCCTATATACATAATAAATAAATAAATCTTTAAAACAAAAAAAAAATACATATCTTAAATGTTTCCCCCAATATATTGTTGATATCAGCATAGACATTTTACTCAAATACTTGTCAGATCAAATTTATTTGATAATTTATGTATTCAAAATAAGCCACAAGATTTATCTTTTCTTATTATTGTTTGTTTTGTTTGGTTTATGAGGAAGGGTCTCTCTGTGTAGCCCTAGCTGTCTGGAATTCCCTGTGTAGACCAGTGTGACCTGGACCTTACAGAGATCCTACTGGCTCTGCCTCCTGCATGCTGGGGCTAAAGATCTAAGTCACCACGGCCAGAGCAAGTCCTGTGTTCCTTAAGGATACATACATTTCCATTATAAATATTTGTTGGCTTCATGTAAATCACTAAATTTCAAGTAAGCACATTAATGTCTAGGTAAAGTTTTGGAAAGCTCAAGATGTTTTTTTCTTCATGATCAGTTTTATAAGTCTGAATAATTACTATCAGAATTATTTCTGCTGGCAACTCATTATCCTATTTGTGTACTAGATTGCATTCTGCATGCCAGTCCCTGGCCTTTGTTATGTTAGTATTACAAGGGTAGCATTGCCTTGATGTCCGTCTGTTGACACTTTGTCACTTCGTATTTGCTTCTCCCATTTTGTCTTTTCTCCTTAACTCCGAACTGAGATTGTATCCATATAACTATTATTTTTAAAAGACATATCACAGATCATATTGGTTAATAACATGTTCTTACAGATACCTTTTTTAAATTAAATTATTAGGCCAACCCAGTGGGAAAGCTACGTGCCATGCAAGCCTGGTGACATTAGTTCAACCTACTGTGGAAGGAAAGAACTGAGACACAAAAGCTGCCCTCAGACCTCCATATGCCATAGCATGAGTCCATGCATGCACACACATAACATACACACACACACACGGAGAGAGAGAGAGAGAGAGAGAGAGAGAGAGAGAGAGAGAGAGAATAAATATTTTTAAATAAGTTACCAGTTCTTAAAATTTTTCACCTGTAACCATTCAAACATTCTGCCTTTTGAAAGGAGAAAAGATTGGTGTCGGTGGCCTGAAAAACACTGTTGGAGAAATAGGAGTTGACCTCAATGACAGAGAATATGTGAACCTGCTGGAAACATTGCCATTTGATGGTAAGCTGCATGCATGTTACTGTGACCTCCAGAAACTATCTAGTCTTTCGGTTCTACTTTTTGAAATGTATGTAGTTTTGTGGGTTTTTTTTTTAACTTTTCCCTTTCCATATGTGTGCAGTGTGCATGTGTGGTGGACATTAGTTTTTCGGTGTGTGTAGGCACAGTGTGTGGGTGTGCATGCACGTGGAGTCCCTGGTTGATGTCATGAATCATCCTCAATACTCTCCTTCCTCATTCATGGAAGCAGTGTCCCTCAACCAAACCCAGCCTTCACAGGCATAACTGGCTCACTAGAAGCTTGCTGGAGGACCCCCATCTCTAATCTTTAAGGCTAGAATTACAGGGGCAGTGGAGAGAGGGCTGCCACACACACTGGCATGTACGTGAGTTCTGGGGACCTAACCTCTGTTCTTAGTGCATGGTGCAAGCACTGAAGTGTGTATTTTCAAATGTGTGTGTGTTGAAATGTTGCCTGCTGCTCCTATGATGCTTCGGGCACAGAACTTAACACTTTATTTTATTTTATTTTTATTTTTATTTTTTTTGGCTTTTCGAGACAGCGTCTCTCTGTGTAGCTTTGTGCCTTTCCTGGAACTCACTTGGTAGCCCAGGCTGGCCTCAAACTCACAGAGATCCACCTGGCTCTGCCTCCTTAACTCTTGAAACATTTTCCATACAATCACTGTTGAGAAGAAAGAAAATAAAGCATTCCTGCTGCTTTTTCAGTGCAGGGAGGGAGGGGTACATCTTTGATCCTGGTACACAGCAGAGGTCTCCTGAGACATCCCTGCCCTCTCTAAGACACTTTTCTAAGCCTTGTTACTAAGATTCACCTTTCCTTACCTTTTACTCCTCCCCCGAGGCTAAACCCTCAAAGTTCTTGTCTTCATTCTCATTGCTTAGGAGCAGGCCAAATTCCTCTCCCTTTTCCCTCAGTGTTGTTTCTTCTTTAGCCAAGAGGCTCAACGTGTTCCCAAAATAAGCCTAGTTTAGTTTAGCGTCGTTTCATTAGGTGAGTCGCACACTGAAGTCAAGGTTAACCTTATACTCACTATGTAGTCCAAGCTGGCCTCAAATTCACAGCAATCCACCTGCCTCCCAAAGTAAGCTTTAAAAAGCTTAGCCAGACATGGTAGCAGCTGTCTGTAATCCCAGTACTAGCAAGGCAGGGGAAGAGATGGAGGGAGTGGGGAGGGATTGAAAGATAGTCTGGGCTACATAGTGAAACCCTGTCAGAGGGAGGGAGGCAGAAAGAAAAAAATTAACTTCTTCTTGGGCTGGAAAGGTAGCTCAGTGATTAGGGGCACAGGCTGCTCTTGCAGAAGAACTGTGTTTCATTCCCAGCACCCACTTGGTGTCTCACAACCATCTGTAACTCCAGTTCCAGGGGATCCGGTGACCTCTTCAGATCTCTACAGACACTAGGCATACAAGCACACACTTGGTAAATAACATATGCAAGCAAATACTCATACACATAAAATTAAAAATAAATCTCTTTTTTTAAGTGCCTTCTCAACAAATACCTACTTCTGTAAGTAATTCTTGTATCAGGTGCTAAAAAATTAACTTTTTCCATATTTTTACACCAGTTTGGAAGTTAGAAAAACCTTCAAGTATGATTCTTGCTATTAAGGATTTGCTTCTGCCTCTTAGGGCACAGACATGTCCACACTTTAGTATGAGATAAGTGAAAGTAAAAGAAGGAATATGTGGTAGAAAAGAAAGATGGAGCTGGGCGGTGGTGGCACACGCCTTTAATCCCAGCACTGGGGAGGCAGAGGCAGGCAGATCTCTGTGAGTTCAAGGCCAGCCTGGTCTACAGATCGAGATCCAGGACAGGCACCAAAACTACACAGAGAAACCCTGTCTCAAAAAGAACAAAAAGAAACAAAGAAAGAGAGAAAGAGGGGTGAGGGAGAGAGGGATGGAGGGAAGGGGGAGGAAAGAAGGAAAGAAAGAAAGAAAGAAAGAAAGAAAGGAAGGAAGGAAGGAAGGAAGGAAG